TATCACAAGATATAGTCTTTTCAACAGTTTAGTCATCAATACAGGTACAACGTAGTATATAYAAAATGACTATACTCCGACAAAATAATAACGTGATGAATGATGATCCTTCGTATATTATATTATATCGCATAACAGAAATCACAAGCACTATATACTGACTTCCACTCATTTTTTTACAAATCTGGTGATTAACACAAAATCTATGCTATAGTATAACTATATTAAATTTTACCATAAACAAATATAAAACTAAACAACAATGGAAACTATACAAATAATACACACAATGACTGCTATATTAATGAAAAAGCCTTAAGAGCAGTACATTTTGCGCAAAAAAATTGTTGCCATAATTCCGTATTAGTGGCACTAACTTAGGGTTTCGTAGCTGCGCGTAATACGTAAAAGCTACTTGGAAGTTGGATAATACCCAAAACTGTATTTAAAAGTTTGTTTAAACGATGGCAAAACTTAAAGTTTAAGTGCGGAGTATTTTTTTTTTACTTTTGCCGAATAAAATCATTCTGTTAACTGAAAAGAAACCCAGTCGTTTCGGATGGGTATAATAAAATAAAACAATCTACGGAATTGTTTTATTAAATGAACCTTGAAATATGGGTCATCGTAGAACTTAAATGAAATAAATGTTATTATTTACTAAGTAATATATTCATAATGAATTAAATAATTTTGCAACAAGAAAATGCAAATGGAAACATTTTCATATGCGAATACAGGATAGGTAATGAAAAATTGTATGTATTTTGGAGGTGGGTACATTAAAAAAATTTAAATAATAGAGTTGAAAATTTAAATTAAATTAAGGTTGAATAGTTGCAGATGATAATGACACCGCCGAGTAGTATAAACTATAAGGTATATTTAATATTATAACATAATATTAAGACCCACCCGTGTTCCACGGATCCCGGAACCCAGGTGGCTAAGGCCGTTTCGGACACCGGACTGAATATGAGAGCACCATCCTTGGGGTCTACAGCCAACGGGGCGGCTTGCGAAGACTTGTGGCCCACCAGCGACACGGGAAGATCGGCATCGTCACCCAAGTTTGGTCCAGCTTTGAGTGCGGATGTTGGCACGGAGAACAGACGGTCCGAAGCGAACGGCTGGAAGTACAAGCGCCGTCCTACKGATCCGAAAGGCGATAGAGCAAGMCCGATGACGCCGTCCATCAGGGTGAAAGATTCACCGGCCACCTATATACATGTACACRCAAAAATTCGGTTAGAAAATCGTTACTACACAATCAAGATCACGAGAATGGAARTGGTAGARTACTGAACATTTCAAAATATATACAATTTTTTATTTGTTACATGATATATTACACTATTACATAGCACTCTTCGTATATACCTAAAAATAACGGATTACTAAACTTTGGGCATGTACATTATTGTTCACACGCATCTTGAACTAAACAGCAATT